TTTTTTTTTTTTTTTTTTTTTTTTTTTTTTTTTTTTTTTTTTGATTCTTACGTGAAAAGAATGGCTGAGAGCCTAACAAGTTCAATTAGGGTTTCTGATTCAATGCTTACTGAAGGCTTGGAGTAACTTCTGAATATTTAGGCTTTAAATTGCTAACATTTCACTGTGCAAGTACAACTAAACTTGACCCAGCGTGTCTCAATCCAGTAAATATTAGACTTATTAACTGAATTTCATTTTAACTGTTAGTTTCAATATGCCTTAAAGTACTTACTTCAGAATCACACAGCCTGTCCCTGTAGGAGGAGCCGTCCAAAATACCTGAATGCGTGTCCTCCTCCGAGGTGTGCTCTCAGTCACAGCAACAGGACAATTGCTCATGAACTGTGTCTCTTCCTCATCTATGATCTAGGGAAATTGCAAGAGAAGATTGTGAAAAGATAAGGAGATACATAGCCAGAGTCTCTCGAGTATGTTTTGTCAGTTCATGTTGTCTTCGAGTGGAATATTTATAATATTCTCTGCTTAGCTCAGCAGTACTTCAGTAAATTTATTTATAACATGCAGATTGCTCGCTGAATTGAAAACAAAAGGCTCACAAAATAAAGGCAGAACAATAATTCAGTTCTAGGTAAAGAGAATCCAGACCTTTCTGAGCACGGCTGCAAATAACCCTTTATGTTGATCCTGATTACTGGAGCTTCCTGTAAATATTAATAAAGTAAAAAGACTAAAATATTTATAATTCCAAGTTTGTTTTTTTTTTTTAATACTATGGCAATCAGCTGTTTAGGACAGATTGAACATGCTAGAGAAGAAGGGCTTTCTGTTCATTTTTTTTTGCTTGCTTTTTAAACCAACATTTGTTTAAACAATACTATTCTTAAGGTATCAAAAGACTGTCCAGGTCAAAAGAGGTGATATGTGGATCATAATAATTTATAATTCAGAGTCCATTATTTAGCCCAAACTGCAGACACTTTTGCTTTTTTGATTGATTGATGTTCAACAGAAAAGTCTGAGTCAGAAACCAGAGAGGCTGATTTGGAACTGGTGTTCCAAGGATTTTACTCAAAGGTGTCAGGACAGAATAGCTTTCTCACTACATATGTGCTTCATGGATTGTACTTTGAGCCTTCTGTTCGTCAGATCTCAAAGGATTTTCATCAGAAACTGCTAAGCTTTATTTGGAAACAGGCAATCCTGTGATATTGCAAAATTCCTCTTCAAATTTGCTCACTGGTCCCCCTTCATTCAATGAAGCTGCAGTTCACACTGCACTGGGTCAAGATTCAGGCAATGAGATACCATTTTGAGAAAGAAGCTGTTCTTATCAATTTACCACATGATTCAACCCTGAAGTTGCTTTTACAGAAATCTGGTTCTAATAACACACACACATTTCTACCAAATAATAATTAGAAAAAAAAAATCTTCAGGCAGTCAGCATAAGTTTAAACAAGCATTTGGACAAAAAAATTACTACTTTACATTTTAAAATATTGACAATATCTGTAGTTGCAGCAGATCTGCTTTAGTGAGCAGGCATGCTCTCTATCTTACCCAGTGACACTACCAGGAGTCCCAAACATTTTTAGCCAAGCCAACAAACATTTCTATATTTCCATGGCAGAGTCAAGTGGCAGTGGCCCAGAGGAGTGCTGAGAAGCTCTATTTAGCTGGTCAACAGGGCAACAGTTAATGAGTTTTAAATTTTAAGCCATTAATATTCTTCGAGTTTTTTAACGCTTCGCAGAATCTGCGTAACCAAACACAATGTGCACATTTGCTGGAGTTTAATTAACATGAAGCTGTGGGAAGCATGGGATCTAGTGCAGGCTTAAGCTGACTGCACAGTTTCTACTTCCACTGGATGCGATTTAATGCATTTAACTTGAGCATCAAGAAATCCCTAATCTACAATTCTGTCTCGGCCATCGACTGTGTTTACTCAGTCTGCCTCATTCCTGCAACAGTAAAATAAAGAAATAAAACTGTCTACTTATCTCTCAGAAAGGTTGCCTCAACTATTTCAGGACTGTATCAATTGACCTTTTATCCATTTCTCAGAGTAATTCATTCTCATTCAGAAATCAGTTTTAGTGGAAGCTCTGAGAGAAGAATGGGTGATTTTATACCACCTCATATGCAATAAAATACTACTGCACATTACACAAAAGTGTGATAATTCCCACAGAGAAGGCTCTTAGAAGGTCATCAGAAAATTCTTAAAAAGGAGAGCTTTTCTGGAAAAACAGAAATCTTGCAACCTACTGTAGAAGTTACACTAGCTCCATATTCTCTTATCAGATGCAAGATGCTGCTGCAGTATAACTCACATTCCCTCTAAAAAACTTTTAAAATATGTTCAATTCAGGTCAAGGTTAGATAATGTCAGGTATGCATAAATACAACGCATCAGGCACAAGCTATTCAACAATGACCAAGGAAAATTTTCCAGATCTAGTTTAGCTCTTGCCTGGCACACACTCCATCAAGGAAGGTTTCTTGAGAAGCCCAAATGAAACAAAGCCATGCTCTCTTGAGTTGCTGCCTTCAGTTAATGAGAACTTAGCTACTTTTATATCACTAAAGATCATTCCTCCAGCAGTCATCACCGCAGACTCATCTGTGATGCATTTGCATGTTCAGTAAATTCTTATCTCCAGGTGAATCAACCCTGATTTTCACCCCCCAAACAACAAACGGAATCACAAGGAACACCAAACCCAAACCCAACAACTCACACTTAAGGAAGGAGTTGTAACAACTGTGAGAAGTCATTACAAGTCAAATTTCTGGCTACTGCAGAAGCAGAAACTGGAATATCTGAATTCTAGATAGTCACTAGGTTGGAGCACATCCAGGCCCCTTTCCAGCTGCAACAAATGAACATGGAAACACAGACATATTTTGTATTTCTTTTGCCCACCTAATTCCTGCCACTCAGCACATAAGGAATTTTCTCCAGGAATACAGATGCCTATAATGAAGTAATTTAAAAGTTCTGGTTGGATTTTTTAGAACATAATCCTGGGAGAACAGGAAATGGCTGGGCCTCAAGGCTGCATCACGATTTCCTGCATCACTAACCATCAAAGCAGAAGACTTGTGCAATAAGTGTCTACTGGAAAAACCTGACCATAAAATAATGTCTTCCAAAAAGTGTTCCTTTGAAGAAAAATTAGACTGAAGCTTTCTTAATAAAGACTCCTGGTGTTGACAGAATACAGTACAGCTCTCCTAAATTAGTTGGAAAGGCTCAAATGTCAGCTGATTTGAGACGATTAAAGCTATTTTATGATACAGTAGAAAACTCAGAACTGTCCAGATTCTGGCATTTCAGATAAATATAAAACTATCTCAAATGCATCTGCTAGGAAGATGATTTTTGTGGGGTTTTTCCATATCCATGGAGGTTCAATTCTTTATATAAAGTTCTTAGGAGCAATAAGAAAGGGTTCCTGATTGATACAGCAGGATTAACAAGCATATTTTAAGGTGGTGGTTGCTATTATTCCACTCACATGCAACACAGGAGAAAAGCAATAGTATCCTGGCCAATTGTAGGGGGAAAAAAAAGAGATACATAATACAATCCTGCTTTTTCTTCTGGAGTCAAGTCAGACCACAGGCGTGAAGGAAAGAATTGGCAGGGGAAAGGCACACAGATTAAAGTGCAGCATTTGCAAAATTACAGCTTCTAAACCCCAGGTTATCTGTAATGGGAAGCCTTACATTTTCAGGAATGGGCCAGCAAATTACCCACATAATTTGGACACAAACCCTAAAAACAAAAAAAATAAACAATTAGCCAAAGAATCTGAGGCCTCAGAGGGGGGGGGATCTCTATGTGATTAATTCCTTCCAATCCACAGACGCAATGACATTGGGTTTTAATATTCTATCCAGACTTTCTTGTGGAGGGGGTTTTTGCCCATTATTGTTGTAGTGTTATTGGACCAATTTATTCCTTCAGGGAAAACACTGTAAATCCTGAGTAAGATCCTTGGAGTTAACCGGGATCTGATCGAGTATCACAGCAAGTAAAATTTGGCTGAACCTGGGTAGATCCTCACACATGAAAGTAAGGATATTACAAGGGAAAAATTTACCAGCTCCAGGCTCAGTCTTGCATTCTTTGCATATTCCAAACATTGATGAGGTTGAGGACAAGTTTTGGGTGTTCCTGAAAAGCAGGACTGGATAACTGCTGAGTTGTTAAACAGAGGAACAAGTGGTTTTCTCAGAATTGAAACATTTCATGCTGAGGGAAAGAGCTTGCTATCTGTTTCTGATTTCTATAAACTGTTAGTCAAATAAACAGGGTAGTTAACCACTCTAATGTTAAATTTATATCAGTATTAAAAAAAAAAAAAATTAAAAACCCCAAAACTATATTTGTCACAATGAAAGGGATTAGTATCAAGTACAAAAGGAGATGAAGTTACATAAATCCTCTACTGGCTTGTGTCCACTTCCTTAGTTAAAACTTCTGGCTAGGATCTTCAGCACCATTTCTTGTTCTGTGGACACATCATCACTTTCCACCCACTGAAACAGCTGCA